TTTCGGTTTGATTCTCGGTTCCAGCTTTTTTGGAGCAGTCATTATCGTTCACGTTTTATCAAGAGATAAGGAATGACGAATAACAAGGTAAAAAGATCGAAAACAAAAGACAATTTTCAAGTTTATGTATCATATTTCATCTTGTGTCATTCATCTTGTTGTTGTCAATATCAACCAGATTCATCGATGCACTGGTATGTGCGACTAATTGCGATTTCTCCACTCAACTTGACAATGTAACTTTACCATCTTGCAGTGTGATCGATAACCCTATTGCAACGCAAACTTGCCAAGTTGAATTAAAAATTGATTATATCTCTAGCTCGGTTGCTGGACGCCTTAATGCTCGAAGTTCTCCATTAGGTTTCAATTTTGATGCGGCCACTATCTTCTTACTGTGTGATGAAGCATCAAATGTAACAATCGAATTCGATTGTTTCACATCAGACAACTGTGATCAAGACTTTATCAAAGAAACCTTGCGTAATAATTAGCTTGGAACCCAAAACCAAGTGAAGATTTTGAAAGAGAATTTATCAAAACTGCTCTTTAATTCAAGTGATCTTTGACCTCATGATACATGTTTACATGATCAACCATGTTTCGGTAAGGGCTTCTGCCAGGTGGTCTATGAAACCTATTCCAATACCCCACGGCCCATATTCGAAAGTTTGTGTGCAAATTCAACAGTACAACCACTCTTGTATTGGGTCCGAGCATTTGACCAACGCATAGCAAGTAAAATTATGATCTATACTTGCAATGAGCCTTCGTGCGCTTCACCATCCGTAGCCCAAAATGTGATTGATATGATTCAACGTGATTATGTCTGACCAATTAATGTCACAATTCCACCACCACCAACAACAACGCCGGTACTATCAACAACAAAACAGAACACGGCTAGATCTGCCCATATGAATAAGACTGAAAAGATTATGTTTACATGCGTCTTCATTGTCTTTTTCAATCTATTTTGAATTGAATGCTGTCGCTTTTGTTCCCTATATATTCATTTGTTTGTGTTTCTTGCATTTTATACGAATATCGATTACTTTGATTATATACTTTCAAACTCCAATAAACAAGCCTTTTTCTTTGAGAAAATATTTGCGATATTTTGATGTTCAAAACATATAATCGATTTTGAATACTCAGACATCACATCAAACTAACTATTGTCAACTGTATTTCCATTTAATTATGCATACTAATGAGATCCAAAGTAGTAATGAATCCACATAATACAGCAATCATATCAAGTTGTAATCCGAACCAATGAATGGCATCTATCATCGCCATGTAAGCCTCTGTATTAACATCGACAGGATCAATCAACGTTTCTAAAAAGTGTTCGTGTAATAACGTGAACTGGTCGAATTGTAGTTAAACCATCTAATAATGATGAGAAAAAAGGACAGATGTAACTTCTTGTAATACTTTTTAATCATCTTAATTGACGATTTGATGAGACATTTCATTTCTTTTTTTGAGATATTTATGCAGGGAAATTGATCGTAATCGATTTTCCAAAAGAGTTTTGGATGCGGATAAAACACATCATGAAAATGCACACATACAAATTCAGGGTGGGTATCAGTGTCGGTGTGGATGCGGATATAAAATCTCATTTACACACACAAACGCACCCACACCCGCATACCCAGACACTCACAACCACACCCTACACCCATACTCGCCTCAGTTAGAACGAGTCTTCCAGAGTCCTAGGTAGATCATACTTGACTGAGTCCTTGATAGATCGAGCTCGATCAAGTCTTTCCTAGTCCTAGGTTGATCGAGCTCGATTGAGCCTGACTGCACCCGATCCTGACCGAGCTCGACCCAGTCCGAGTCCGAACAGAACCGAGCCCAAGCTACTCGGACTCGGTACATGCCTATCGATATCCACACCCAATGTATGGGTGTGGATGTTTTTTCTTTTCACCCACACCACATCTTCATTCTCATCCACATGCATATCCTGTTCTTTAATTGCATTGATTTCGCTGATCAGTTGATCATTCGCAGTAGAATAAAGAATGGTCTACAAAATGAAGTATTTTTCTAGCTTAAAGCTGATTTCGGAAATGGGTCACAAAGTAGACACTGCCACCTCATACAAGTTTGGTAGCATCAATTAAGGTTTGCATCAGTTGCGAGCTTTATAAAGGCAATTTAAATATCTATCCATCCTTTGAGAAAAATTCGTCCTTCGGCGATGGATGAAAACATCTGCCAGTAATTTCAAAGGATTTATTTTTCTATTATCACTCAATGAGGATCTTATTTCACCGGATAAGGTAATATAATTGAAATTTGATCTTTTTACGCTCCTGTATAATCAAAGCCTTCGTTCTTTCTATCATTGGTAATCCTCCTTATAAAATAATGCATTCTGATTGCCACCATCGTTTTTATTCAGATTCGAATAGAAGTGCATTTTGGCAAGAAAAATCGATCATACGACACACAGAATGAGAAACTGGTCATCGTTAATTCTTTTTGTTGTCTGTTTGATAACTGGAGTTCTTCTTGGGCAAATAAATGGTGAGCACAGTTGACATGGAAGTTTTATATTATCGCTGATCCTATTTGACTTCGCTGAGAGAGATAACCAGAAAGGCAGCAGCGATGATCGACTGTATACTAGAGACACAACTGGTGTAAGATTCGATCACTAGATCAAATATATTTCTAATTGATAAAGTCATTCGAAATGGATATGCACACATACGCTATATTCTGCGCATCAAAATAAATCGTATTTCTATTTTTTCCTATTATTTTTCTAGTAATTTTATAGTTTGGTCTCATTTTTTATCTCAAATATGTGGTTTAGTATTCAATTTACAGTGTTGTGCATAACCGTTTGGTAGGAAAGGAGAGAGTGCAGCTCGAACTTCAAAAAGATATAAAATTAAATTTTATATCGAATCAAAAGCCGTTAAAAAACAGAGTTCTCAAGAAAGTAACAATACATAGAACAAAAAACATTCACTGCTTCACTTTGTATAGGACCGAAGTCACTATGAAAACAGCCCCAACAATCGATTTCAATGTTTGCACACGAAGATTTAATTGAGAATAGTGACTATTGATACAAAGTTTGCTGAGAAATTTTCAGATTGGTATATCATGCTACGACACAACACCGTCAGAAAGTAGAGAATGATTCTCTGTGGTCGCATGAGTCATCGAGTAACTGACATTTCTTCGAGTTCTTATATGGAGATTAGTAGATCGTAAGATATAAGTAGATTATCTGAGTATCAAATGTTGTACTAGATATAGTTGTAGGACAAACTTGATAACTAGTGTTCGTTTTGTTTTACTCCGACTATAAGACATTATTGCAGTTTCTCAATGAATATTTCTTATTTTCAGCTAAGACGCTCAGTGTAGACTGAGTAACAAATCATGCACTTCGGATATAAAAAAAACAAGATCAAATAACAAAGTCATATAGACAATAGTAAAAAAACAAGACGTATACACTCTTTGGTTTTACAGATACAGAATTCGATGAGCCTTTTAGCACTGCACAAACTTCAGTATATTAAATCTTCCATAATAGTAATGTTGAAGAAATTCGATAGTGTGCTTTACTGCAGCTAATCTCGACTATGCTGAATTACGCACTTCCTTGTTGAGAGAATTTCGAACCTTAAAATTATTCACCTCAACAACATGGACACCAATAATTTGCTAGTGTTTATTTTTCTTGGACTTTCTTGATTTGTCAGGCATACCTGTAATCTTGTGGAATTATGTTCCATTTCTCCTGCTACTAGCTAATTCATGCTCATCGATTTTCTTCGTCTCTTCCTTCGGTCAACATATTGATATACCATGCACTTTTGGGTACTACAGACTTCATCCCGTCCGCAATAAGTCAGAGACTCAAATTGTATTAAGTGAATTTCTCCATTCCACATTTTATCACCACTATTTATTTAAAAAAATTGCCACTAGATACCAGATCTCGGAAATGGACCATTTTTTGATGGCCCGGCTTTGGAAAACTTAAGTTATTACTATTAAAAGTTTACTTTTTTTACAAAAACGATATTTTACACGATCAAACTCCATAAATACTACAATCATTGATAAGAACATTGTAAAATTTTATTATCATATTGATCACAAGTTCGAAAGATCGCAAAGTGTTAATGCTTTTTAAAACAGTATGAGTCAAGTTGAATTGCTTATTGAATCAAAAGATGACAATATATTCATAGGTACTCCAACTCCTTGGAGACTATCGTTTTTTTAACAGAAGCTGTCACAAGTAAATAGCCAGCTGATTAGTTTCGAAGAGTGAGATCAGTTAGTATTTATGGAGGTTTCCAATTATTACTAGTTAAGAGCCGCCAAACCCATGTAGAAAAGTTTTAACAAAAAAATAAAGAATCAAACTGATTGTTTTTTGCATGAAAATGGATCTTTTCAGCTGGACAAATTTTTTTTGAAAAACTAGCTTTCATTCTCCGATGTAGCAATTTCTTCTTGAAAATAGAAACAAAGTTTGGGCCGGGTGGACCATTTCGAGGCCTGTTAAGTACTCAAAGACTAATCAAACGATCAATTTTCTAACAGATTACAATCCAATAGAATTATCCTAGAAACTTCGAATTTAAAAATCGATCTAAGTTTATTATTTGATTTATGAACTATATTTCTTGCAAAAAATGCGTCACATTAATTCAACTAATTTGAACAAAGCTCGAAGAGCTCCTATATAGCAATTTGGTTCAAACTGTATAACTAGACTCAGTTCGACCTGCTGTACTCTTCGCGCAGATCTAAATCCGATCTAGCCAATTATTCTATTGTTTGTCTATTGTAGCCCAAGGTGGTATATGTCCAATACAATGTGTGAATCCCATGGGTGGCAGCACATGCATTGCAAAACTATCAATGTGTGACGGAACTCGGTAATTTTCTTTCTCGTTCGCAAACTGAACCAATATATTTTTTTTTCAAAAGGGATTGCATTGATGCAAGTGATGAAGATCCAAAGTATTGTGGTAAGATTCAGTATTTATATTTCCAAACTTTCTCATCATTGTTGCTTGACAAATGCAGGCGTCAGCTGCAGTTCGAATGAAATTCGTTGTAGGAATTCGACTGGTGGCCGATCATGTGTACCTAAATTATCGATGTGTAATGGGACTCGGTAATTTCCATTATCATGCAATATTAAAAATAATTTCTTTGTTTTCGACAGGGATTGTGCTGATGGAAGTGACGAAGATCCAAGCTATTGCAGTAAGAACAAATTTTAACTTTATCTAAACGTCGTCACAATGGCTTCTGATGAAACCTAGATAAAAACTGCAATTCTGGTGAAATTCGATGTTTGAATTCCATTGGTGGCCTAGCATGTGTATCTAGATCATTAATGTGCAACGGTGTTCGGTAATCTCATATTTCTCTTAGCATTTAAACCGATTCTTATATTCCAAAAAGGGACTGCGCTGATGGAAGTGACGAAGATCCGAAGTATTGTGGTAAGATTCGAAATATATTTTTCTATACTTTCTCACAACGGTTCGTTCGAGAACTTAGCTGTTAGTTGTAATTCGGGTGAAGTTCGATGTGTGAATCCGGGCACTGGGCGAGCATGTGTGCCTAGATCGTTCGTGTGCGACAAATTCCAGTCAGTTATAGTTCTGTTTTGGTATTTGAACTGATTTGTATATTTATGAAAGGGACTGTGCTGACGGAAGTGATGAAGATCCAAAGTTTTGCGGTAAGATTCAATTCTCACTTTTTCTGAACTTCTTTGCCATCGCTCATTTCAAAATGCAGTTGCCAATTGTAATCCGGACGAAATTCGATGTGTGAATCCAAGCAATGGACGATTATGCGTACCTAAAACATCGTTGTGCAACGGCATTCGGTAATTATATTTCTATTTCACCATTTAAGCCGATTCTTATTTTTCTAAAAGTGATTGCCTTGATGGAAGTGATGAAGATCCAAAATATTGTGGTGAGATTCGACATTTTTTTTCTTCACTTATTTCACTCCTATCATGGACAACCCTAGCTGTCACGTGTACCACAAACGATGTACAATGTGTGAATCCGAACGGTGGGCGAACATGTCTTCCTAAATTATCGATGTGCGACAATATGCGGTAATTACATACCTATTTGATTAACTATAGTGATGACTATGTTTTGGAAAGGCACTGCAATGATGGGAGCGATGAAGATCAAAAGTATTGTGGTGAGATTTGATTTTCTCGTATGTTAAACATCTTTGATATATATCGTTCCAAAATCTAGCTGCCGGTTGTCTTTCAAGCGAAGTGCGATGTGTGAATCGAGGCTTTGGGCCATCATGTGTGCCTAAGTCATCGATGTGCAATGGTATTCGGTAAGTTTATCCTTGTTTCAGCATTGGAACGAATTTCTATGTTTCTAAAAGGGATTGTGAGGATGGAAGTGATGAAGATCGAAACTACTGCCGTGAGACTCTATTTTTTTGTCACCCAATGTTTTGAAAATGTTTTGTTGGAAAATTTAGCAGCCAACTGCAATTCGGGTGAAATCCGATGTTTGAGCTCCACAGGTGGCCCATTATGTATATCTAAATCATCGATGTGCAATGGTGTTCGGTAATTTCATTTTCGTTTTAGTATTTAAACTGATTGCTATGTTTATAATAGTGATTGTACTGATGGAAGTGATGAAGATCCAAAGTATTGTGGTGAGATTCAACATTTTTATTCCTAAACTTTCTCACAATGGTTCCTTCGGAATCTTAGTTGTTAGTTGTAATTCTGGTGACATCCGATGTGTGAATCCGGGCGTTGGACAATTATGCGTTTCTAGATCATCGATGTGCGACGGAACTCGGTAATTTTCTTTTCTCTTTCCCAAACTAAAGTGATGTCTGTTCTTTTTTTCTAAAGGGATTGTGCTGATGGAAGTGATGAAGATGTAAAATATTGTGGTAAGATTTAACATTTACTGTTTTTTAACATAGACAAAATGCTTATCTGGAAAACCTAGCTCCCACTTGTAATTCTGGTGAAGTTCGGTGCGTGAATTCGAGCACTGGTCGAATATGTATAAACAAGTTATCAATGTGCAATGGGATTCGGTAATTTTCGTTATCATGCAGTAGTAAAAATAATTTCTCTGCTTTCAAAAGGGAATGTAACGATGGAAGTGATGAAGATCCAGTCTATTGCAGTAAGAACATATTTTTACTTCATCTTGACTTTGTTACAATGTCTTCTGATGCAACCGAGCAGCTAGTTGTAATTCGGCTGAAGTCCGATGTGTGAATCCAAGCAATGGACGAATCTGTGTTGCGAAATCATCGATGTGCAACGGTGTTAGGTAATTGCATCCTCGTTTCAGTATTTGAACCCCTTCCGATGTTTCTAATAGTGATTGTGCTGATGGAAGTGATGAAGATCCGAAGTATTGTGGTAAGATTGAATTTGAGCTTTTGCATAATTTGTCGGCAATGACTCTGTTGGAAATATAGCTGCCATTTGTAATTCGGGTGACAAAAAAATAGAGTCTCACGGCAGTAGTTTCGATCTTCATCACTTCCATCCTCACAATCCCTTTTAGAAAACNATTTTAGAGTTCATGCAAGAATCGGGGCAGTGTTGGTGAGAAAGCATAGAGAATTTTTGATTAAACTCGATAACAAAACAAATAAATTTTGGAGCAAGTCTTTACGATCCGTTTAATTATAAAGAACTAGTTTTAGAATTCAGTACTGAAGTTTCTTGAACTTTTTCCTATACGAGATTACGTGACATGATTTACAACTATCCACTTGCTTTTCGCTTGAAACCATTGCTGTTCGATCGATCATGATGATTACTGAAAAAAGTTTATTGTTGTTTCACTTTTAGGCTAGCTGAGAGCTTCACTGATTAAATATCCATCCGAAATTATCATCACAGATTGATTTCATAGTCACCAAAAACAAGTAGTACTTTGTCGTTTCGGACTGTATTTTCAACGAAGGACATTCAACAACGAAAAAACATATAACTAAAATGAAAAAGGACTTCCTTTTACTCCTTAATGTATGGCAATAATCTGAAGCAAAAAGTGATTGAACTATTAGAAGCGTTCCCTTGCAAGCTGTTTCTACTATAGAAAAAAATAAATCATTTTCTGAAACTTCACTAACCCCATACAAAAAGTCACTCCAATTTCCATTTCAATGATCTCTAGATTTCTGAAGATTGAGAAAGAAATGTCTAAGAACTTTTCTACAGATGGTCGAAAGTCCAATAGTCTTCTATTTTCATGTAAATCTTTTTTGTTTTTACCAATTCGATTAACAACGACTTCGACTAATAGCTATTTGATTCGTATGACTTTTTTTAAAGTTTTCCTCTCATTTACAATAAATGATCTATATCAATCTTTGATCTCTATATTAAAATAATATTTCTATATTCAGGTGGATATTTTCTTGCTGGTCGTTCAATGCATTTCATACCGGTAAAATTTACAAAATATATAGAATCTTTTTTTATAATGCTCGATGTATATTTGTATAGGTTGGCGCTTCTTTATTTGCATCAAACATTGGCAGTGGTCATTTTATTGGTCTAAGTGGTTCCGGTGCTTCGAGTGGTATAGGTGTTGCTGGTTTTGAGTTATCAGTAGGAAATAAGAAAAAAACAGATACTTTTTTTTTATCAATATAGTATCTACTAGGCAGTCTATATGCTTATGATACTTGGTTGGTTATTTGTACCAGTTTATATGAAAGCAGAGGTATTGTGCATCATGAAGTACATATACTAGGCTTTCAAGATTATTCAATCAGATTTATTTTTCAACCGTTTTCAATTGACTTAAATACGAAGATCAAATTAAATAGTGATTTGAACGAAGAATTTCATTTCTAACAAGAACTTTTGAAAGATGAAAATCATTGCTAGTTTCCGAAGAATTAGGTCTCTGAATAACCGAGAATTATGTTATTTAACATTTAGAATTCTATCGACTGAGATACAACAGTCTCATGGGAGATACAAAAATGGTGTTTTCAAACGACATAACTGAAAAATGACTGTGCTACTTTCCATAAGAGTGAAGCATCTTGGTCAAATAACATATTTGGTGACTCAGTCAGAATTCTCCGAGCTAAATAACGTAATTTTCAGTTATCTAAAGCATCTGTTTTCAAGAAAATGGTAAACATTTCGATCTTCAAAAACTCTCGCTGGAAATAAAATTCCCTACTCAAATTACTATTTGAATTCGTCTTAGAATTTACGACAGCAGAGTAACATGTTACTAAATCTGATCGAATAATTTTACGAGCCACTGTTTAGATAACAAATTTATGAATGTTCGATAGGTATATACTATGCCTCAGTATTTAAAAATGCGTTTTGGAGGTGAACGTATACGAATATATTTAACATGTCTTGCTTTACTATTATCCATTTTTACAAAAATATCTGTTGATCTTTATTCCGGCGCTATTTTTCTCCAGCAAGCACTCAATTGGAATCTTTATGTATCAGTTATTGTTCTTATTCTTCTAGCTGCCTTTTTTACTATTGGAGGTCATTATAAAAAACAAAAAGAAAAATTCTTTGATACCCAAATTTAATAATATATTTTGTAGGTGGTTTAACAGCTGTTATTTGGACAGATTTTATTCAAACAGTAATTATGATTATTGCTGCTGTTATACTTATGATAATTAGTAGGCTATTTAGAAATCAATATACTTGATATAATCATTTAAAATAGGTTTTTCAAGAGTCGGTGGTCTTCAACAAATACGAAATCTTTTTCCGTATGCTATTGCTAATACAACATTACATAGTACTACGCAATGTGGCGTTCCAAATGAAAATTATTTTTCATTGATTCGTCCATTTGATGCTGATTTACCATGGTTTGGGTTATTGTTTGGCATTACCATTGTATCTATATGGTATTGGAGTTGTGATCAAGTAAATAAAATTTGATAAGCAACAAAAGAAATTTTTTTTTGCTTATTAAAAATATTTAGGTTATTGTTCAACGAACATTAGCAGCAAAAAATATTTCACATGCAAGGGCAGGTTGCCTGGTTGCAGGTCTTTTAAAATTTTTACCATTATTTCTTATGGTATTTCCTGGTGAGTAAAATTTCTTGTTTTGAGTAGTATCAGTGTTTATTTTTTATTGGATTTGAATAGGAATGGCTGCACGAATACTTTTTCCAGGTATGGTAGTCTTTTTGTTCTATTTAAATATGAAGTGAAAGAGAAAAACATTATTCAATAGATGAAATTGGTTGCAGTGATCCAGATACATGCTATCAAGTTTGCCATAGTCGAAATGGTTGTAACGATGTAGCCTATCCACTTCTTGTTATTCGTTTAATGCCAAATGGTTGTTGTGTTTCGATCATATCTAATTTTTAATTTAGAGTACAATTTTTTTTAGCCATTCGTGGTTTGACATTAGCATGTATGATTGCTGCTCTAATGTCATCGTTAACATCAATATTTAATTCGAGTTCGACTATTTTTACTATTGATATTTGGCAACGTTTTCGTAAAAATGCACATGATTGGGAATTAATGATTGTTGGCCGGTAATGAAGAAAATCGATTTTAAGTCTCCTAAAAAAGTCACCTTTCATCAGAATGATCAAAATTAAGACAAATACAGGAGAAGATAGTCCGTGATCTGATCTTTCATAAACGACAAAAATTTTAACTCGGCATCTCATTTTTTCGAAAAAGTTTTGAAGATTTCTGTCATCCGCTAATCGAAAAATAAGTTGTTTTTAGAAAAAACCGAAAATCTTTTTCGTTTTTTCTCGTTTTTTAGATTTTTGATCGGATCTCCCAGAATTCGCGAAGGAGCTTCATTGTAGCGAATATTCTTTTGTGTTTGAGAGTTCATGCTTCGGGTTAATAACTTTTGTGGCTCTCGTTAAAAAAAGACTTAAACAAAGAAAAGACGTATTATTTGTTATTTTTTCTTAAGATTTTGCTATTTTCATAGAATATTTCATGTTCTCTTCGAATTTCGATCTAACACTTGGCCAAAAGAGTAAGAAAAAGAAGAAAATCAAAAAAAGGGCGACAAGAGTCGCTAGTCCCAGTGTCTTCTTTAAAGTAAAAAAGGAGAATTGGCTCTATGTCTTATTATAGATAAATGCTCTTCGAGATGCGGAAGGTGCCACAATGACTACCATACATATACTAAAGCTAGCCTATCTTCTACTAAGCAAGAGATATAAAGCTGAAATTTTTGTGTGTATAACTACTCATCTCCAAAATATGCACAAAGCCTCATCTGTATAGCACGTGCTGGCTTGAAGATCCCATTTTGAGAGAAGCCTTAAAAAATTATAAAAAGATTTATTTTAGAGTTTTTGTGATGATTCTTGTGATTTTTTCAATTCTTTGGATTCCAATTATTCGAGCAGCACAAGGTTCTCGATTATTTGATTATATTCAAGCTGTTTCAGCATTTTTAGCTCCACCTGTTACTGCTTGCTACTTACTTGGTATATTATGGAAACGAACTAATGAAGAAGTGAGTAATAATCTAAGTTATAATACTTAGAACAAAAAAGCACTTATCTATTTTAGGGAGCTTTCTGGGGTCTTATATCTGGTTTATTTGTTGGTATGATTCGTTTCATATGGGAATATTCTTATACAGCAATGCCGTGTCAAATTGCACATTTGGATCAACGTCCATCAATAATTCGATTTCATTTTTTATATTTTTCTGTTGTGCTTTTCTTCATATCTGCTATTGTTACTATCATTGTCAGTCTTCTTACAAAACCTATTCCAAACAAATATGTAAGTTAAATAATACGATCATTTTTTCCTTTAATAAAATGAGATGATTTTAGATATCCGGTTTAATTATATTCGATCTTGATAATCCTATTAAACCAATTCAAATTCCAACTCGCTCTGGTTGGATGCAAAAAGCAAATACATATTATGATGAAGAACAATCATATGTAGTTGAAAATTCATTACAGCATCAGACAGAAATACCTCAAACTGAAACAGAAAATAAAACATTTGAGTTTTTTGATACACGTATGTAAATTAAACTATCATTGAAGATAGATCTGAATTTAACATTTGTTATTCTAGAGAATTCTACAGGAATAATATTATATTTAAAACTTGCCTTGTCTTGGATATGTGGTTTAGAAAAAACCGATGAACTTGACGTACAATCAGTACGTTCGGATAATCAATCATGTGATAACACATGTCGTAGAGGAAGTATATGTATGATGCGTGAACCAAATATTTCTTCATGGCATACTCAATGTTCTTATGCTGCTATTATGCTTCTGTCTTTATGTCTTTTCGCATTCGCATTCTTTACTGATTATCGAATAAGATTAAATTAGTAATAAATAAATAGCTTTTACTTTCTATATTGCGAGCACAAAAAAAAATATCGCACTTGTTTTATCTTATAGAAAACGATTTGCTCTCTAAGTTTGAAATTTTTAAAAGAGACTACTATGCCCTACATCGTAAGTATATTCTGCGCAAGGAAGTTCAATATTCGAAATTTAAAAAAAGTTTTACCACTGGAGAGTAGCGAGTCCGTCCAGACCAGGTCGGGTACGAGTCCGGGTCCAGAAAATTAATACCACCCGGGTCCGGGTCTAGAAATTTGATATCACCCGGGTCCGGGCCCATATGTGATTTATTTTCAGACCCAGTTTGCATTCAACTGCGAATCTAAGTACTGGAGAGTTCAGATCAACGTATAATATTTTCTGTATTCTGTTTCAAAATTTCTTGGCTATTTTTAATTTTGTAATTAAAAAGTCATTTTAAATNTGAATTTCTCTGGGGTCCAGATGGACCCCAGGTGGGCAACAAGCGTTCATATGTACTTCGAGATAATTTATCACATAAATAACTAATGATGGTGAACAATGGACGCTACCGGCGTGCTCTACTGCTCCTCATTAGAGCATATCTATAGGCGCGTGATTTGATTCCGACGTATTATGTGTATAACGTTAAAATGAAACCTGTTGGGGTCCGCCTGGACCCCAGGTGGGCGGATTAGGGTTAACATTAGTCTAACTAATAACTATTGAAAAATAGGATTTTTTAATAAATGCAATACAAAATAAAAAGCTTTCAGAGAAATTACTCTGAATAAAAAAAATATAAAATGCAAAAGCATATAAAACAGAATCAAAAAGTTTCTATTACTTGATTTTTTTAATAATTGAAGAAAGAATGCTAAACCACAGAGTTCAATATTTAGCAAAAAAAAGATAACATTTTTTTAATCTTACTCTTGAATGTCCAGTTTTCAAAGCTTTTTTTTTGGATTAAACAACTGATATAATCTTGATAATACATGATTTATTCTGTGTCTTCGTAATTGCAAACATTTTTACTGAATTAGAAGAAAAAATGTTCACACTATGGAAACAAGCGAAAATCAATATAATAGGACGATCAGTACAGATTACTCGATTCTACAGAGAATATCACCATCTTCAAGTTAGCTACGCATTGTCCACGCCATTTTTTTTTAGCTGCTACTCTAAACGAAAGTATTTATAGTGACGAAGATAAACTGAATAGAATCGTCTATAATAATCACACAATTAGGTAGTAATGGAATAATATTAAAAAATTATCATCTTTGGCAAAGACGAAAAAATAAGAATGAGACTGAAACACGAATTCGTATACATGAATTGATTGTAAACCGCATATATAATAAATCTCCTCTTTTGAAAATACTGATCAAAACCAATTTAACTTGAAAATTTTGTAAAAAATGCTTGCAAAACTCATAATACACATAGAATACGATGTGTTGTAACCTATGTCATCAAAATCGCAATTAATAGGCGATTTTCCAATAAACTTCAACAGTAAGTATTATTTTATTTAAAAAAAAGAATTTTCCAGTGGTATATACGTCAAGACATAGTCATAGTTGTAGATAAACATACTACGACCAGTTCAGATCATCGAAAATATTGTTTTCTTAGTTCCATTTTTCTATCAGAATTAATTCGAAAATCTATTTATCTAAATACTTTAGATTTGAAGAGAAATTCTAGTTTATATGCTCTATTGTAGTTATTCATCCTACATAATAGCATCTATTGTATTTTTTTGAAAAAAATGAGAAATTCTTCAAACTTTACAAGCAATCAAGATTGAATTTTTCTCTATGTTGATATTAAAGAATGAAATAATGAATTTATTTGACAAAAACAAATCTACTCGTGACTATTTCTTTTTTTTTATCAGAAATAAATGTTGATTTTATATTTTCGTTCTATCTATGATTCATCTATTGTATTCGAGAAGGAAAAATCGAAATGATATATTATTCATACTTTTCCTATTCAAGCTTTGGTACTAAAATGAACAGTCATTATACAGATAGTAAGAAGATATTTTTATTTTTCTTATTTGAAATTTTGATTTATTTAGTTGGATCAACAACAAATTTCGATTGGAATGCCCGAATTCGAACAATTGTTCAAAATTCCAATGATGAATCAATTAGTTTTGATAAACTTAAAAAAGAATTAAGTTGATATTAATTTAATTCAATATATTGGGTTTTTCTTTTCTTTTTTATTATCATTTAATAGATTATTAAACAATATCGTCAAGTAAAACCTGATTCAGATAAATCAACAAAAGAATTAACAATTGAATTTGAAAAAAAATTAGCAAAAGCTCCATTTATTGCACGACTTGGAAATGATATTTATTATCTTTATTATTTTAAAAATGAAAAGATTAATACATATTTATGATAATAAGCTTTTATTTCAATAAAAATGTCAGTTTCGTTTGTTTTTTTTTCTTGATTTGCTATCATTGATGTTATGCCATAACTTTTATATGAAAGAAATAAAATGATAACCTTGAAGTATCTCTATTAAGTAAAAGGTCATGTTTGTTGATCTATTCATGATCTTTTTATGCCATAGAAAAAAAAAAGTAGTGATAAAGATACATACACAATCCAAAGTAAAACTAAAACATGGTTGCCGTCATCGGAACAGCACTTCATTGGTCTGATGTGTTGGTTTTATTACTTTATTTTTTACTTATACTTGGTTTTGGAGTTTGGGTATGCTAGATTAAAAATTTCTTCTAATTAATTACTGTTTAGGTGATTTTAGAGTTCATGCAAGAATCGTGGCAGCGTTGGTGAGGAAATACAGACAGTTTATGATTAAACTCGATAACAATGAAAAGAAATTATTAATCAAATTTTTACGATTTTCTTAATTATAAAACACTAGTTTTAGAATTCATTACTAAATTGAGCTAACGTGGCATCATTGCAAATTGTGCCCGTTGCTTTTTATCTCAGACTATTACCATTCGATTCGTGATAATGAGTAATAAAAAAGTTTGTTATGGTTTGACTTCTCGGTCTTCGTTTGTTGAGTTAAAGGCGTTTTACTCGAGCTAAGATATTTACATTCTAAAGAAACGTCTATTTTGGACTGTGTTGCAAAAGAAGGATATTTCTATGATGAGTTGATATATCAATATGGATACGTTTGTCTTAGTTCGAAATTCGATTGTTCAAATTTACAGTGATTATACGCTACTAGAGCAAAAATTAAGTAAAACGTCTAAAACTCAAAGATGTTTTTTACTACTTATCATGACCGACCGAATGGCAATAGTCTCAAGCAAAAAGTGATTTGACTTTTACAAACATTTTCTTATATTCAGGAGGATATTTTCTTGCCGGCCGTTCGATGCATTTTATACCGGTAAAGTTCATGAAATATATATAAAATCTTTGTTGATACTATATACATATATATTTATAGGTGGGCGCTTCTTTATTTGCATCAAACATCGGCAGTGGTCATTTTATTGGTCTAAGTGGTTCGGGTGCTTCGAGTGGTATAGGTGTTGCTGGTTTTGAGTTAGGAGTAGGAAATAATACTAAAAAGTATACTTTTTTTTTATCAATATATATATTCTATATAATAGGCGATCTATATGCTTATGGTACTTGGTTGGTTATTCGTACCAGTTTATACGAAAGCAGAGGTATTGTACATAATGAGATATATATATATCTGTCCAGGACTTCGAAAATTATTCAACTAGGTTTATTTTTCCGTTATCATAAATGCTAAGACGAATTCAAATAGTGATTTGAAGAGAGAATTTTATTTCTAACCAGAATTTTTGAATAACGTGATGTTCGGTTATCCAAAGACTCTATTCTCATGTAACTAGCAATCATCTTCATTTTGAAAAATTCTTATTTAGCGTTTATGACATCGAAAAACTAAATCTGTTTGAATAACTTTGTGAGTCATAGTATAAATAAAAAAATGCGATAGGTATTTACAATGCCTCAATATTTAAAAATGCGTTTTGGAGGTGATCGTATACGAATTTATTTGACATGTCTTGCATTAATGTTATCAATATTTACAAAAATATCTGTTGATCTTTATTCTGGTGCTGTTTTTCTTCAACAAGCACTTAATTGGAATCTTTATGCATCAGTTATTGCTCTTATTCTTCTAGCTGCTTTTTTTACTGTTGGAGGTAAATATAAAGAAATAAAAAACAAAAAAAAAAATTCATTAATTATTTAATTTCAATACGAATTTAATAGGTGGTTTAACAGCCGTTATTTGGACAGATTTTATTCAAACAGTTATTATGATTATTTCTGCTTTTATACTTATGATTATTAGTATGAATTTTAGAAATTAATATATTTAATATAATTATTTAAAAATAGGTTTTATTAAAGTTGGTGGTCTTCAACAAATACGAAATCTTTTTCCATATGCTCTTGCTAATACAACATTATATACTACAACTGAATGTGGTATTCCAAATGAAAATTATTTTTCATTAATTCGTCCATTTGATGCTGATTTACCATGGTTTGGTTTAATACTTGGTGGTGCTATTGTTTCTACATGGTATTGGAGTTGTGATCAAGTGAATAAAATTTTATAACAATTTAAAACTCTCCCTACAAAAAAGAAAAGAATTTTTGTTTTTATAATAAAAAAAAAAAAATTAGGTCATTGTTCAACGAACATTAGCAGCAAAGAATATATCACATGCAAGAGCAGGTTGTCTATTTGCAGGTCTATTAAAATTTTTACCATTATTTCTTATGGTTTTTCCTGGTAAATAATTTATTTTCTTAATAGTTTAAGTTTTTCTGTTTTTATTCGATTTGAATAGGAATGGCTGCACGAATACTCTTTCCTGGTAGTATGAAGTGTCTTTTCTTTTTGTCTTCAATAAATATAAAATAAAAAATAAAATAAATTTATTCTATAGATGAAATTGGTTGTACTGATCCAGATACATGTTATCAAGTTTGTCATAGTCGAAATGGTTGTAATGATATAGCATATCCACTTCTTGTCATTCGATTAATGCCTAATGGTTGTTGTTGTTGTTTTTTTTTCTTCTGATCAAATCTAATCTTTATTTTATAATATAAATCTTTTTTTTGTTTTCTCTTATCAGCAATTCGTGGATTGACATTAGCATGTATGATTGCTGCTTTAATGTCATCATTAACATCAATATTTAATTCGAGTTCGACTATTTTTACTATTGATATTTGGCAACGTTTTCGTCAAAATGCACATGATTGGGAATTAATGATTGTTGGCAGGTAATAAAAAAAAATATTGATTTTTAAAAAAATCATGAAAAAGATTTATTAAAGAGTTTTTGTTATGATTCTTGTTGTTGTTTCAATTTTTTGGATTCCAATTATTCGAGCAGCACAAGGTTCTAGATTATTTGATTATATTCAAGCTGTTCAATCATTTTTAGCTCCACCTGTTGCTGCTTGTTATTTACTTGGTGTATTATGGAAACGAATAAATGAAGAAGTAAAGAATAATTTAGTAAAAAATAAATAAAGATTATCTATTTTAAGGGAGCTTTTTGGGGTCTTATGGCTGGTTTATTTGTTGGTATATTTCGTTTTATATGGGAATATTCTTATACAGCAATGCCTTGTCAACTTGAACATTTGGATAAACGTCCATCAATAGTTCGATTTAATTTTTTATATTTTTCTGTATTACTTTTTTTTATATCTGCTATTGTTACAATTGTTGTTAGTCTTCTTACAAAACCTATTCCAGATAAATATGTAAGTAAAATGATTAAAACTAAAAATTATTTCATTTTAATAAAAAAAAAAAAAAAAAAAAAATTCATTTTAGATATCGGGTTTAACTACATTCGATCTTGATAATCCTGATAAACCAATTGTAATTCCAACTCGATCTGGTTGTATGCATAAAGCAGATACATATTATGATGAAGAACATCCATATTCATTTGAAAATTCAACTCTAAATCATACAGAAACATCTTCAAATGAAACAGAAAAAAAAGCATTTGAATTTTTTGATACAAGTATTTTTATTTATTTTATCATTATATATAAATTTTAATTTAATTAATTCTTTTTTTTTTTTTTGTTTTTCTTTTAGATAATTCTACTGGAATTGCATTATATTTAAAAACTGCTATTGCTTGGATTTGTGGTTTAGAAAAACCCGACGATCTTGATGTACAATCAATATCTTCGGATAATCCTCCAAATGAGAATACAACTAGTAGACGTAGTATATGTGTTATGCATGAGCCAAATATTTCTTCATGGCATGCTCTATGTTCTTATGCCGCTGTCATAGTTTTGTCATTATGTGTTTTTGTCTGGGCATTTTTTACTGATTATAGAATACGATTGAATTAATAAGAAATTAATTTGATTTAATTAATATGATGAAAAACATTAATTATACTATATTTATTTATCAGTCGATTACTGTCATGAGTTAATGAGAATATGTCTTTTTTTCCGGAAGTTTATGTCAATTTAAAAATAAATAAATATAGAAAAGAAAATTAACAATAAAAAGCTTTGTGTATATATTTTTGATTCATCTTTTATATTCAGCTTTACAGACAGTTCTGACTGGAAGCGAAAACAAAACCTCCAGGTTCAATCTTGGCTGGAGCTCTTCATGAAACCGTAATAAAAGTTGTATAAAAATTCTTCTAAATCTCACCAACATCTTATCTTGTAGAGAACTATTTACTTTATAGATTTGAAGTTTTAACAATATACTACTACGTCCTCGTACAAAAAAAATAAAATAGCATCACAACAGATTTATTATGTCTAACATTGCCGACTTATAACAATTGTTCCTCGACATTCATATTACTTGAGGTCTAAACATGGATCATTAAAAGAGACGATTGTCAAACAAACATCAATAACACTAATTGCAGTAGTATGAAGGCACTCATGTAATACTCTTCAGCACTTATCAAATTTCAATGCCACAAACATCATCATAATATTTAGTCAGCTAGAAAAAGAAAATAACAAACAGTCATACATTGCGGTCTTCAATTGTAATAATTGCTCCGGTTGATTGAATTCTAATTTCAAAGTGAACAAGTCCTTCACCGGTTCTTTAGTCTGCTATTGATTGTAGTCATCGAATGAAAGTTAAAAATGCTTGGAGGTTTTATCAACTAGAGAACACAAGAACAACATAGTAAAAAACATTTTTTACAAAATAATTTTGTCTTTATTTCACATCACCAGCCAAAAAATAGAACTCAAATCATTCTATAGAGTTTGTATGGGTTTGAACATGAAAAGTGTCAAAGAGTTCTACAATTATATCAAAGAACAGACGATAAATAAGACAAATAGTATTTCGCAACTTGTAATATTTGATCAAAATCCTCATCATATACCAATGTGAAGAATTCCGACACGATACTATAGAAAAAGCAAACTTCTCGATTGGTATGGAACACATTGAATACTTTTCAGTTCGATTTTTTAATTGAACCAGCTGTTATGCGTCGTGTTTTCTAATTAGTTCATCTGAAAATTTCATCGGTCTTCTTTGTCATGAACGGTTTCATTGATCAGTCAACAAGCTCTAATGATAAAGGTGGTCAAGACATTATTACAGCTAAACTTATTCATCAGATACATGCAAGAAATTTGTTAAATCTACCTAAGTTAGCAGCGTATTTGATCATTTCTTATCTGGATTCATTTCCTGACTTTTGTTGACTCTCTAATTAATTATTTAAGATTCAAATTTGTATACTCTTTCGAATGGTATCCATTTGAATAGAACTCGTTTCAGCGAAATCTGGAAGTTTTAGAGTAAAAACTTTATAAGTTAGGTCGTACATGAGGATTCTCTAGTCACTTTACGCTTTCAAAAGTTACAAACGTTTTCCTAACAATGGACCCGTCTGTCATGTCAGACGATTTTCTTAACTATTTTGATATCAAATGATAGCCCTCAACAAGAAACTAACCGGGTTAAAATATTAGCTGCTCGTGGCTTGCCTAGAGGAAGATATTTAATTTTTAAATCTAGGTATAAAAATGAATCAGGAAAGATTTTCTCCACTATCATAAGGACAAAACATGGTGTTGTTCGAGCCATATGAAAGAGGGTTCCTACAAATCCCATAATCGGCCCGAACAACACTATGTTTTGGCCTTATAATCGTGGAGAAAATCTTTCCTGATTCATTTTTATACCTAGATTTAGAAATTAAATATCTTCCTCTAGGCAAGCCACGGGCAGCTAATATGTTAACCCTGTTAGTTTCTCGTTGAGGGCTATCATTTGATACCAAAATAGTTAAGGAAATCGTCTGACATGACAGACGGATCCATTGTAAGACCCTTGATCCCAGCAAATTGATCTTGGAATGTTTCAGAAAAACTCCAAACAGAGGCAAGTCATGATACTAAGCTGAATGATAATGTTTGCTTTCAGTTTCACGACGATCTGATAACATTATTTGAATATTTTCAAAACTTCAATTTTAATGTTGTATAGGAGAAATTTTTAAAGTTTCAAAATATTCGTCTGAGATCGCTTTGAAACTGGAAATAAAAATCACCATTCGACTTAACGTAAGAAATTACTTCTGTCTGGAGCTTTTCTAAGGTTAACATGCTGGAATTAGGGACATCAGAAAAACTTTTGTAACTCTTGAACAGAATCGGCTAATGAGTTGAGAAACTATTTTTCAAAATCTTCGCTAGAAATTCATTTAATCTGACCAATCAGATTTTGGCTTTCTTTAATGGAACCGGATGTTCTCTTTTGAATGGTGAAAATCCCAGTGCTGTTCGTCGTTGTCATCAATATTTACTAAAAAAATAACCAACGACATTTTGTTTTAAATGAAAAATAGCATTTTTCCATTAAGATCTCAGAAATACACAGAGCTTTGTGTTTAAATAAGTACCTCTTTCGTCTAACTTATCGATGCACAAATTCAATGTTATGGCGATTTTTGATAAAAATAAACTTGATTGCGACAAGAAATTTTAATTTCTTTTCATCATAGATAAGTCGATTGAATACTCGAAAGAAAGAAAAGAATATATATATATATATATATGTATATACACATTATATGGAACTGTTGTACTGTGTTTATATTTCTCTTATTAAAATTGTTTCTTATATCGATGAATCAATTCGTTGTCTTGATATATGTACATTTGTATAATGTGATTGATTAGTTTTTGGAATATGTCCATGAGAAGATAAAAAATAACTTGATCGTTGAAATTTTCCATTATATTCATTACTTGTTGAACGAAATGATGGATGTTTAAATGTACGTATTAATTCATTTCGTATATGTTTACCACTAATTATATATAAATAGAAATTAATTCCATAATTAAAATTTGTTAATAAATCAAATATATCATGTGTTATAAATATATAATATTCCCATTTAGCATTACATATACGAAAAACATTAACAAACATAAATTTCATTATTTCAAGACTTGAACCAGGTACATGTAATAGAAGATAAATTGATGATAATATTACTAACATTCGTGATATTTTAAATAATAATATGGTTTTATGACGAGAATTATCTGATGAATTCGTATGATCAATTAAAGAATGTTCATTAAATAATTTATTCATAATAAGTATATTTGCAGTTATAATTATTGTTAATGGTAATAATGTCATTAAAAATAAACGCCATAAATAAATCGTTAAAAAAATATCAATTTTTGCATAACCAAGTAATGTTTTACAACGACAAAATTGTTTTGACATTGTCACTGATGGTAATGAACAATCAAGACCTTTAACAATAAAATGATAAGATTGAATAATCATTGTAAATAAAAGTATAAGAAATAAAATTCGACGAGCATTTATAACATTACAAATATGTTTTGACCATAATGGAAATCGAATGGCAACTAAACGTTCAATAGCTAATGCAACAATAACCCTATGAATATATTTTTAGATTTTTTTAAATTAAAAATAAATTTTATTTTACCATGAACTCATTGAATAAAATATATATCGAATATAATAATATAATTTACATGATAAAACAGTATGTTGAATAAATGTACGTTTATCAACACTTCGATATTGATGTAATTCATCAAGTGCAACAAGTACTACGAAAAAAAAATTTATTTCCTTTTCTTTGTTTATTTTGCTTACCTTCACATAGAATAGCTCCGGTATCAACGATAGCTAATGCAATTAAATATTGAGTATACGAACTTCGTCTTAGACCTAATAAGAGAGAAAAACAAAAATATCACCTTTGTGAGAAATTTAATAATAGAATGTAAATTTACGTCCACGACATAATACAAGAAGACATAATAAATTACCAAAAAATCCAATTATAAATACAACAAATGTTCCTAAAATAAATGTAGAATTCTAGATATATTCATTTCATTTTCTTTACCAATATGATTGAGCCACCAAGCCCAACTTTTTTGAAAATAGATTTTTTGATAATAATTCAAATCAGTATTAGTTAAATTAGTTCCTGCACAATAAGGCATTCTAAATAGATATCATTGATGATATATCAATAAATAAAATAAGTATAACAACATTCTATTTATAATAAGATACGAATAAAAACAAAACAGAAACAGTTGTCAACTTGTATCAATTCTGTTGTTTGACAAATAGAATCAAATATAAAATTATTTACTTCATACATAAACAGAAAATCTAATTAATTGATTAATTAAATAGACAAGATATATCGATTTATGATTTCTTCATACATACACTTTCATAATCTTCTTTATTAATAATAAACAAAATATTTATAGTGACATACAAAAACAACTACGAGAAATTCGTTTTGATCTTTTTTATTGATTACATAGACATAAACTGAAACCCTAAGAAAAACAAAACATCTTTCCGTCTGATTGCAACCCGAGATCTATTATATAGATAAGAGGACACTGCTTAGAATAAATTTTGATATTTTGAAGACATTCTTCTATAAATAATTAATTATTCATACTGTTTGACATACGCATTTCTATGGAAATATCATTTGAGTAATGCAGGAAGTTATTTGATAAGTTTTGCTTTTCAATAATTCAGCCTAAGGTAACTAATTATATGTTTTGATAAGAAACATAGGTCGATAAATGTCATTTGCTTTCGTATAACTATCAGAATATAACATAACTTCTATTCATGCTCTGTCGGCCAGAAATTCTCTAGGCTGTGAATAATATCTAATAACATTATTGATAAAAATCACCGAATTATTACGTATATATTTTTTGATCTTGTCTTTTAGCATATGTTTTTTTTGTTTTTACTATATTAAACTCCTCAGAGAATATAAAATATTTACCGATTAAACGTTCGTGTAATGTTACGATAGATATTTTTTCTTCCATCATGAAATGTATGCATTAGATCATGCCAAAAAAAGATCTAATTTATTTCTTTTTTTTTTTTTGAATAAAAAAGTTCTTTTTTCCCCAGATAGATGGCAATTGGTAATATTGAATATAAATTAGTTGTTTTGTTTTTGCAGGAAAATCGTATGTCAATTGGTTATTGTTGTTTTTCAAGTATGTTACACTCTCCTTATCATGATGTAATGAACCTCAGAAAATTTTCTTGTTTTTTTTTTCTTTCTCGCTCGCTCTCTCTTTTTTTCTCTCTCTCTCTCTCTCTCTTCGTTTTGACCTGACCGACAGAAGAAAAAAAATGAAGACAACATTAAGCTAGAAAAAAAATACAAGTCTTTGATAAGCCGTAGCTACATTTCTCAAACGTCAGAAATTACTATAAACTTCCTGTAAATTTTATATTACTTGTCAAAACAATGACCTATTCAATGTAACTGTCATGCATTTATCTTGGTAGGTGTAAAAACGCGTAAGGCATTACAAATGAGACCTTTCTACTGAAAATAAATGAAATTCTTGGTAGAATTTACATTGAAATTAATGACTAATATGTGTAATACAATACAAGAATCATTTTTTCTTTCTTTCCTATATAATAAGAGTCATATTTAAGAAATAGATCATTTTTTTAATTAAACTAGACATCCATATGCGTAAAAGAAAACCAACTATAACAACTCTTCGAAGTATTTTATCATTAAACATTTTAAAATAGTAGTCACTATCTTGTTCTATTTTTGAAAAAAAAGACCTACTTAATACTTCAATTAGCAAATTTTCCTCAAAGATCATTATGTTTCAGTTTATTTACAAGTTAAGTGTATTATAAATGAAAAAAGAGTAATAATTAAAGTCTTTTTGCTTTCTCAATTATACTCAACATTCTCTTATTAATATGTTAGATCAATTTTAATATAATAAACTCTCGAACAAAAAAAAAAACTTGAAGCTAAATTTTCTCATTGATAGTAATCTTATTAATAATAAAACATTCTTATAAAATTAATGATAAAAAAATACATACTAATAAAAAGAAGAATTTTTTCAATAATTTTTTTGCTTTTTTGTTATTATCATAAATGACGGAAATAAACATATAAGATTACATTTCAACGGATATGACTTATCAATAATAAAAGTTTATTTAGCATATGTAAAAGCATCCGATTTTCAATGACAGATTCAGTGAACTATACTCTAATCATGCATAGAAATTTTTTTCAACATAATATTTATTAGTAATTGTTTATCAATTGAATAGAAAGTATAAAATCTCATCAACGAGAGAACAAAAGTTAAGCCGTTCAATATTGATTTCCTATTGGGATACATCATAATGTATTAACTACAATCATCTTATTCATAATAAAAATTCTTTTAATTATATTCTCAAATATAATGAAGGAAATTGTTCTATTTTCCTATCGCATTATCTATATTACGTAAGTATTACTAAACATTCATGAAATATAAAGATATATATTAAACATTATCATAAATAATTTCTATTTTAAATATTTTGTTTGTTTGTTTTTTTTTGACTCAGTCGGATGAATAAACAATATGTCACACAAACCTGATATTATTTCCTTTTATTTCTATATAAAGAAATCAATAGTCATGATTGACAAACAAAACAAAAAAAAAGAATAATAAACAAAATTATTTTGAATATTATCTATTTTGACAAAACTAAATTACTCGTATATAAATATATTTTTTACAGGTCAAAGAATATTTCGCTCAATTCAAATTTATTAGTGCATAAAATATTATTTTAAAATTATATAATAAAACAAAAATCTCTCTATATATAATATATATATATGAATTCGTAAACGTGATTTTTATACTAGATTACTTTTTTTTTTTTAAATAGATATTAGATTTATAATTATTATAAAATATATTCTAATAAATAATGTTACATCAATTGTTTGAATATACTTGCCTGTTATTGTAAAATTCAACAAGTAATAAATCCATGATTATTGATTGATTCTAAAAGAATTTCGAAAGAAAAAAAAAAAAACAAAGAAGAATGATAATACCAATCCAAACGATAGCATATAACTAAAAGAATGGAAATCTATTTTGTTTTTGTTATTATTTCCTGTCAAATTGGGCGAACAACTTTGCTGTGCCGCATTCAATATCCGTTATCAAACCATTTGCATATAAACGACAGGCGTCAAACGACTATTCCTGTCGAGAAAATGTCTGGAATAAACATTTTAAAGATCGATATATATATCTATATACGCCTATAAAAGTTCGGCGACACGACTCATCAGCAGTCGATCATCGTCCTTAACGAGCCCGTACTAAATGAGATAAAAAAAAAAAAAAAGGATCCTTTCCATTCCTCTTTTTTATACAAGTACACATCTATGTTGATGTTTATATCGGTTTTCTAATCATGTTTTTCTAATTAAAAAAAAAAAAAAAAAAAAAGAAATAAAACCTATTGATTTAATGTAGGAAAATGCACGCACAAAACTATATCCATCAATAATAATTTTCTATTGCGTTCATGATAGTTGTACTATGACAGTTATCACCAACTTCTGGAACATTCGTAAGAACTATTGTATTTAATGAATTATGTCATAGTTTTCTTTTGTCTAGCTTTTAGCAAATTGTTTGTTAATCAATACACGTGATGACATATTATGTGTACAATATGATTTTTATCTTGTTCATACATTAAAATTTTACTTAGTCATTTACATTTTCTTTCATCAAATATAAAAATCCATTAGTTGAATTTTTATTACTCGCTTGTCTATTGATATTCATTACATCGACGTTGAAATTGAAATATGTGGTCAATCAAGCGAAACTCTTTTCGATCGACGACATATTTTTAACCTATACAAACGAATCGGTCGATAGTCGATTTATTTCTCTCTCGCCCTTTTACTTTAGTATTTGTACGCTTGTTTCTTTGTTCGATTGTAAATGAAAAACACACACGCGATAGAGAATATATGAAGATCATAGATACATTTTTTTTTTTTTTTTTTAATTCTATGAAAAAAATATGTTTCCTTCTCTTTACCTCAACTATGATAAGTATAAACATTTACAAAGCAATTATTCATGGCCCAATAAAAAGAAAAAAATTTCACATGAGCAACATGCGTAACCATACTTATATGTCGTATATCTTATACTTGCTTTCATTTATAGTATAGAAAAACGAAAAAAAAAACAAGTAAATAGTGTGACTATTTCTTCCTCGCAAAATCAAGTATGTATTCATTCATAGGTATCTATATATATTGTTCGTCATATTCATATGTCAATGAGTATGATTTAGAGTATTTATATAATTTTTTTTTCTTAACGATATTATGCATGACGTTATCCCGAATACAATGTACCAGGTTGTAAAATTTCAAATTTAATGAGAATTTCATTTTTCAATGAAAAGTTTAGAACAACATTTATTAGTATTGATGTTAATAATAGATTTCTTGGTTGTTTTCTGCTTTATAAATAGGTTTAAAAAAAAAACAAACTTGTAATGCTTTATTTAATTCTGTTAAGAATTGAGAAATCAAACATCTCATCCTATAGAAAAAATAGATGCGTGTCGAATGATATATATAGTAAATATTATTTTCATAGGTTTGTTAAAGAAATTAGATTTATTTTACTGATAGATGACTATGCATTCAAACTATGATCAGTTACTAATCATTGTAACTTTTGGAATTGTTTGTAAAAATTTTTTTCTTTTATATATTTTTGTAGAGCTTTTCATGAAGTACAAGTCCATACACTTACTTTCCCTGATCATTCAATTTTTAGTTGAAAAAACAATGTGATTTTTCAATAATTCACTATCGTTTTTCACTAATGGTGAATCTTCAATAGTATCGATCTTAGAACATATGACTCGACGCAGGGATGTGGCGACCACGGGGTGCGCACGCCCCCCCCCCCCCCCCCCCCCCCCTAGACAAACTCTCCGTTGCTCTCTCCACACCGGCCTTTGTTTTAATTAGTAAAACGAGTGTAAGCATA